GCTGGCCCCCAGGGGTGGGCTTCAGCGAACTGTTTGTCCTCGGCAGGGAAAACAGATGCGGTGAGGGCATGCCACTCCCAGGCCTCAACAGGCAGTCTCTGCCAGTCACACAGGCCACAGGTGGAACCCAGCTTGGTCACTCACTGCTGGCCAAGAAGCCTGGAGCAAGTCCCCGAGCAGTCCAAGCCTCAGTGTCTGGGTCAGTGAAATGGGGATAAAAACACTGTCCTCACAGGATAGTGTAGGTACTAAATATGTAATAAGCAAAGGGACTGACATCTTTTTATTCATTTCAGCTCGATGCAGGCCAAGCAGTGGGCCAGGAGCCAGGGCTCCACCACCCGGGGCCCGGCCCACGGTGCGCACTCAGCCTGTGTGGCGTTCCCGCTTCCTGGAGTGTTCTATGATGGGGGCCCCAATCACGACGCAAAACCCAGGGAGGCACTGGAACACACTTCTTGGAAAACAAGAGAAATGGTCATTTATGGGTCCAGTCTCAGTTGGCTGTCATTTCTGTGCACCATAACCCCCCACCGACAGACACGGGGCAGGGGGGGCTGAACAGGGGCTGGCAACAGCACGGCTGCAGGCGGTGGGTTACTGGGCCATAGGCCTCCCCCAGCACTGGGCGCCTGCGGCTCTGGAGAGAGGGTCAGGCTGGGCTGCGGGGGGTCTGCCCCCCCTCCAAATAAAGGGTAGCTGCCGTCCCATCACCAGGAGGAAGCTGCTGGCCCACCACCGGTAGAATTTTGTCATAGAGAAGCAAAACATGGAGGAGAGGCTGGGAGGACCCTGGAAGGCCTTCCCAACCTGCCCCCAGTCCCACACGGGGGACCAAGGGCCACACGAGTAAGCCGGCTGGGGGATTATTAGACCACGGGCTTCTGAAGCTGAGCCAACAAAGCTGCTCCGTACGAGGAAACGGCCTAGCAACTGGGGCTCTCTGGGTGCTCAGCAGGAACAAGGTCATGACTTCCCACCATCCGAAGGACCTCAGTGGGCAGTGACAGAGGAAGGGAAGGGACATCTTTCGCTGAGGGCCTACATGAGCCAGGCATTCTGCAAAGTCCCTACAAACATCATCCCCTCAACAATGCCACCAGCACCCAGGTCCTGTTGTCCCCTCTCCTGGATGCGGAAGCGGAGGTGAAGGAACTTTCCAGAACGCCCAGCTGGGGTGAGTGGAAGACTCACACCCCATCCATGCTCCAGCACTGGGTAGCTGGGACCAGGTGTCATTGCACGGATGCCCAGAACATGCTGGATGCACATCAGGAGAGCTGACCAGGGCAACGGAAGGAAGACAGGGTGCCCCTCCTAAGCCAGGGCCCTGGGGGCTCCGGGGGCCCTGCAAACCTCTGAGGCCTCAACAGCCAGGCTGGGGGCACCTGCGGGGGGGGGCCAGGGGGGGCCGAGGGGAGCAGCTGGAACCTTCAGAGACCAGTGCCTGCAGAACTGAACAAGCTCTTCGGGGGACTTCGAGGAGACTGGCTGACCTGGTGTGCAGGACAGCTGACTCACGAGGCAGGCGACATCTGGGCCCTGGTGGAGCCAGCCAGGGTTCCCTGGGGCCGCTCAGACTAATGCACCAGAGACGTTTGGTTAGGAAGATTACAGACTGAAGCGGGAGCACCAAAAATAATGAATCTGTGAGTGGATTTTATTTAGGTGTTGATTCACGGTTGTCCTATAAGCCAACAGCCCGTCAGAACTATAAATTAACGAGATAAAATGTCGCTGGCTCTCCATATTTCAGGCCGGGTATTGACATTTTAGAACCCACAGATTTTTAACTGTATTGATTGAGGACACCAGGATAAATGGCCTTGGCGCCAAATTCCCATTAACGACAATGGGCACCGAGTGACTAATTCCCAAAGCACTGCGGCGAGAACGCCCTGCACTGCCTTCTCCTGGCAGGGAGTTCTAATTAGATTGAAATGAAAAAGCCAAATCACCAAGGGCGGAAAGAGGCAGATCAAGTAAAAAGGGAAATCAGACTCAGTAACGAGAAAGGACGAGGTAAGTCACCTCAGACCGCGAGCCACAGAGGCTGCCCCAGCCCACCGGCCTCTTCTACAGAGAGCATCTGGGCCATCTTGGGCCGAAGGTGAGGACGTAGAGCTGAGGTGGGAGATGTGGGAGAGCCACCGATGGGTCTCACTGCGCGGCGAGGGCCGGCCTCCGCTCCCACACGCGGAGCTACTGCTCCCGGCCAGCCCTGGCCAGATGAGGGAGACACGAAGACTCCCAGGGCAGGCCCCACTCTCAGGAGCTCCCACACTAGGCAGAGAGACAGACAGAGACCATGGAGAAGTCCCAACTCAGGGCTGGAGGGCTGCCCCAGGGGTGAGGTCCACACCCTGCGGCCTCCCCACAAGAGACAAAGGATGTCTAGCATGCTCGCCACTACAGCCCCAGCACTGGGTCCTACACATAGTAGTAGGTGCTCAGGAAATACCTGCTGAGTGAAGGGATCCGGGCTCTCAACAGGTGACGAGTGCCATTCCCAGGGGAGGGGTAGAGTGGAAAAGTCGTCTGTCTTAGGTGAAGCCCTGAGGACGGGGCTGTGCCTTCCCTGCACCACCCAGCACATCACATGCTGGGCCTGGGGCCACGCAAGCCCTTCTCCAGTGAGATTCTGCCACAGCCTGGGCAAGGCATGCCCCTCCCCCAGCCGTCCCCAGCCAGCTGAAGACACCAGGGAGACCTGCCCAGAGTACAAACCAAGCCATGATCCTCTGCTGCTCCCAGCTCAGCAACGGCCCCTACTGCCACCTGCTGTGGCCGTCCCTAACTTGTCAGGAAGACTCTCTTTAAACACCCGAAAATTTCAGACGCCTCCCCCCACGCTCACACACACCTACACACGCCACAGCAGTGTCTGTTTAACATCTGTTGATGGAGCAGCTACATCGTGACAAAGGGCCACTAGGCAGCCACTAATGTTATCAAATGAACTCGTATTTGATTAGCCCAGCAGCACCGCCCGGATGTGAAAAGCATCACTCCTTCGCTCCGGAGGCGGGCAGTGCAGGCACCCACGTGCACTCAGTGACCCTGGAGTGGGGAGCAGGGCCCGGAAAAGACCTCACAGGCCAGGAACCGCGTGAAGCTTGAGTTCTGGTTCCTGAACCCCCAGACTCCCCACAGCTGCCTGCACCCCACATTGCCACACACTCCACACGGTTCATGGTCCTCTAACAACCCTGTCTTCCTTATCTGTCTGCTGGGAACGCGCTCCCCCCCCACCCCCTCCACCTGGACACCCTGTCCCCCGGGTCCTGCCTCCCACTAGGTTCCACTCCTTGGGCTTCCAGGCTACATGTTCTTGCACTTCCTGCATCGCGCTCCATCACCACAAGCTGGGATTCTCCCCGCACCCCCGTCCCCCCAGCAGACAAGAGCCTCTGCGGTGGGTGTTGGGTCTTGTTCACCTCTCTGTCCCCAGTGCTGAGCAGGGCTACGGGGCACATGGGTTACAGACTGAGCCTGGAAGATCTGTGCACGAAGAAGTTTCCGGAGGTGCCAGCCTTCAAGGGTGAGACCCGGATGCAAGGCTGTCGGAGAAGACCTAGCACACGGTGGGTGGTCAGGACATCACCCACCGCAGTCATCACCAAGTGGCGCCAAGCTCCCTGAGCCGCGGCCTCCTCCTCGGACTTTGGGGCTCACTGTAAGGTCACAGCTGGTTAGGGAAACTCTGTTGAGAAGAAAAACCCCACAGATGCTCAGCAGCATGGAAAGGATCTAAGATTTACGACTGCAGCCATGGCTCTAAATCTCCACTTGCCGCACACCACTGGGAGGTCCTGAGCTAGCCACTCACTGCTCTGAGCCTCACCCTTCTCACCTGTAAAATGGAGGGGGAGATTGTGGGCAGTGCGTGGTGGGGTTTGACGTGCTGTGTACATAGCCCCGGCCCCTGACACGGCCACCCGTCCTGTCCTCACCCCCTCCTCGGGCAGTGGGCCTCGAGGCCGGCCCCAAGCAGTCCAGACATGAAGACGCTCGGGGCGGGACACAGACCCCACCATTACCCCCCACCATCCACCACGTTCCTTCGCTGTGCCCCCTGCCGGCTGCTGGGGAGGGGCTGGGTGGTCAGGCCCAGAGCTGTGGTCTCCGGCTTGCCAGGCCCCGAGACAGGCATGGACCCCAGGGCCTCCCCTGCTGGGTATGGGAGGCCTAAGTGAAGATTCAGGGGACACCCTACGGTGGGCGGGAACCCCAGCCTCCCCTCCTGGCCCTGGCAGGAGAGCCCAGCGGAAGTGACCAGAAGCGCAGGGAAGAAAAGGCAACGTGGGTGGGGAGACCCACCAGCCTGAGTCAGGGGCAGAGGCGTCTAGCCCGCTCGGCACCCCGTGGCTCTGTCCTCGCCCGAGGACCGTGGACAGGACCCCACACGGGGGCTGCGGCCGCGTTAGGTGCCGAGAGCGCCTGTTGCACGGGAACACCGAGAATGTCAAGTTCCTCCCGCTGACTGCTCTCTCCTTCTCGCCCTGCTTGTCAAGGGCCCCCTTAGGATTTACCCAGCACAAATCCATCTTACCCAAATGCCTTTTCAGTGTAGGCATTAAAGCAGAACTCGTTTGCAGACTTTCCTTATGAGCTGGAATCATTCCTTGCAGCCTTTCAACGATAATGAATTGACAGGAATTCTAAACTGATTCCAACCAAAGGACGTTGTGATAAAGCTAAATCTATTTTGGTACAAATTACATGTCAGAAGTTGATTAAAAAGCTACCTCTTTATCCAGCCCCACAGCTTGGGCTGAGACAACCTTGGGGCTCTGTCCTCCCAGCAGCCTGGAGGGGGCCCACCTTGAGCCCTCTGCGGAGAGCCATGGTTCCAGGCAAATGCCCTGGAAACACACTCATCGACGTGAGCCCTGAAGCCGTGTGCAGCTGTGGCCCCTGACGGCCCAGAGCAGCTTCCGGACGACAAAGCCCACCCAGCTGCCAGCTCTGAGAAGGGGCCTCAGTGCAGTGAGACACACCTGTTTCAAGGTCCGTTAGGTGCAGGGCGAAGTCGAAGCCGCCGCTGAGGATGCGCTGGCCGCAGGGAGACCAGCGGGCGGCCCGCACCGCCTCGCTGTGCAGGCGGTAGGTCTGCAGGCAGCGGCCCGAGTCCACAGCGTCCCACACCTACGAGGCAAACACAGCGCCAGATGTCAAGAACAGAGGCCTGACCTCCGGGGCTCAGCCCGGCCCCTCTATGGGGTAGAACTGGATTCCTGTTATGTTACCATCAAAACGGGATTTGGCTGTTAAATGTCTCCCTGCAGAAATGTAAAGGCTTGGGGCTGGTGAGGTGGGGGGAGCTTTTCCCAAAACCTCTCCCAGGGTTAAGGGGCCCATGAGAAGACAGCAAGTCCCACCTGCCCCCAACCCAGCCCCTCCCCACCTGCTTCACAGCTGCTCGCCACCACGGGTCCCCACTTCACTCACACGTGTGGCCCGGTGTCACCTACGCCTCTCACGGCTGTCCTCCAAGACAGGGCGCGTGGGCCCTGCAGTGGACACTGCACCGAGTCAGCCTATCTTCCCGGGCGCAGCTTGGAGAGTCCGAGCCAAAACAGAACCGGCCACACCTGTGCTTACCACCGGGCAGGGAGCCAGGCTCTGCCAGCTGCCTGTTTTCGGGGGAAGAGGCACCGTCCCTCATTCCCAGCCTGGCTCTCCCTGGCGACGGAGCCGATGGCAGAAAGCCCCGTGTACATTCAATGACTTCTGAGATATGTTCTTGAGCCCTCAAGTGTAGAACTACACGTTCCAAGGGCCAGGGGCCACCCCACACATGAGAGCCCTTCACCAGCTCTCTCAGGCGCCCCGGGGGAAGGCAGGTAAGCACGGAGCCCGACAGGGCTGGCTCGGGGCCCGGCACGCGCAGGCCCTCAGCAGGGCTAGTCCCCGGCCCTCACCGTCAGAACAGCGAGCAGGGGACGCTGCCGCCCACCATCTCAGGTGGCTTAGAGGGTCAACCACGAGAGGCAGGAAGAGCACCTTGTGCCTGTCACCAGAACATGGGCCTCGGGGCCGAGCGCCTCCCATGCGATGCTGCTGCTTGCAGACCGTGTGGCCAGGCCTCCCTGGGCCTCGCTGTCCTCCTCTATGAAGTGGGAACAAGAGCCCCATCCCAGGGCCTGAGGTGAGGAATGAGTGGGGTTGGCACACGAGCTCCTTGGGGCTTGTCGCGCGCGCAGTTCTGAACAGCAACGTCCTCTGACCCACTCTGTTCATCTCCCTCATAACCCAGTGTACCCACGCACATCCACAAACCAGCTCTGGAGGTGGTTTTCCCTTTCAAACTAAGAAAATTCATCCTGCTGCATCCCAATCGTTCTCAAAATGCAAAGGATCAGAGTTCTGAAAGCATTTTTCCTGGGTATATGTAAATGTCTGCGCTTAAGAAAACAAAAGGTCAAGAGCAGCTGTCAGAGAACGCTAAGAGAGCTCAGATCCTTTTTCTCTTATTAGGGGTCAATAGCTGGGGTCTCAAACTGAAAAAATCATGAAATTGCAGCATTTACATTTATAAATATGGACAGAGGGGCACCTGGCTGACTCAGTAGAGCACACAACTCAATCTCAGGGTCATGGATTCAAGCTCCATGCTGGGCATGGAGCCTACTTAAAAAAAAAAAAAAAAAAAAGTTACAAGCATGGACAGAGGGGCGCCTGGATGGCTCAGTCAGTTGAGTGTCTGACTCTTGATTTCACCAGGTCATGATTTCACAGTTCATGAGTTTGAGCCTGGAGTCCGGCTCTGCGCTGACAGTACAGAGCCTGCTTGGGACTCTCACTCTCCCTCCCTAGGCCCCTCCTCTGCTCATGCTCTCACTCTTTCTCTCTCTCAAAATAAATAAATAAACATTTTTAAAAAAGAGAAAAGAAAAAGTCTGAAAAAGAGAAATATGGACAGAAGTAATAGAAGAAAAAACCAGAAGACTTCAAAGTGGACTGGAAATTTATGGTAGAAGAACAGAGCGTGCAGTTTTTTCAAAACTATGTGGGGACGCCTGGGTGGCTCAGTCGGTTAAGCGTCCCACTTCAGCTCAGGTCATGATCTCATGGTTCGTGGGTTCGAGCCCTGCGTCGGGCTCCGTGCTGACAGCTCAGAGCCTGGAGCCTGTCATCGGATTCTGTGTCTCCCTCTCTCTCTGACCCTCCCATGCTCATGCTGTCTCTCTCTCTCAGGGAAAAAATAAATAAATAAGTAATAAAAACACTATGTGCAACTGTGACTGTTGAACAGAGAAAACAAAGGGAAATTAACTACAGAGTTAACAGTGGCTAAACAGTAAAAGAACACAATATCAATTACATGAGATGAGTTGCATATACACAACAAGATGCCATCTAAATTATAAAAACACATAAAACATCACTTCACGCCCATGGCTTCTATCAAAAAACGAGAAGGAGGGGCGCCTGGGTGGCTTAGTCGGTTAAGCGTCTGACTTTCGCTTAGGTCATGATCTCGTGGTTCGTGGGTTCAAGCCCCGCGTCGGGCTCTGTGCTGACTGCCAGCTCAGAGCCTGGAGCCTGTTTCAGTCTGTGACTCCCTCTCTCTCTGACCCTCCCCTGCTCACGCTGTCTCTCTCTCTCTCTCTCCTAGAAATAAATTTAAAAAAACATTAAAAAAAAAAAAACGAGAAGGAAGAACAAGTGTCAGGAGAGTGTGGGGAAATCTGGAACCTTCGTGCACGGCTGGGGGGTGCAAAACGGCACAGACTACATGGAAAACAGAGCAGCGGGGGCTTAAAAAATTAGGCATAGAGCTGCCATGGGACCCAGCAAGGCCAAGCGTGGGTACATGACCCCCAAACTGGAAGCGGGTCTCAAAGAGATCTCTGCACACTAGTGTTCACAGCAGCGTTACTCACAGTAGCCAAAGGGTGGAAACAATCCAGTGTCCACCGACAGAAGAACAGACACACAAAACGTCGTCTCTGCACACAACGGCCTAGTGTTCAGTCTTAAAAAGGAGGGAGGTTCCGACTCCTGCTCCAACATGGATGAGCCCCGAGGACGCTATGCAGAGCAACGTAAGTCAGACACGAAAGGGCAAAGAGGGTATAATTCTGCTTACGTAGAAGCTGTTCCTAGAATAGTCAAAGTCACAGCTACAGAAAGTAGAACGGGGGCTCCAAGGAGCTGGGGGAGGGGAGAACGGGGAGTCAGTGTTGAATCGGGACAGAGTCTGAGTTTTGCAAGGCAGAAAGAGCTCTGAAGATGGACGGTGCGATGGTTGTTCAACAACGTAAATGTGCTCAACGCCACTGAACTGTACACTTAAAAATGGTTAAAACAATACATTCTATGTTATAGGTATTTCAACACAACTTTAAAAACATACATGAAGCAAAGTCCTGTCAAGTTCATTTGTGCATCTGTAGGAAGACTGTAACACTATACGCGAAGACGAAGATGATGGTCACTCTGGAGCATGGCAGGGGCGGGGCGGGGTTGGGTGAAGGACACTGTGAACACTAAACTGTCTTTCTGAGAGAGAGAGAGAGAGAGAGAGAGAGAGAATATGCTCTGAAGCAAGTATGTCCAAATGTTTCCATCAATTAAACTCACTCATTTCTTCATTCATTCAACAAACATTTCTTGAGCAGCTGCTATCAGCCAGGCATTGCTCAGCAGTAAACAACGAAGACAAAAATCCCTGCCTTCAATGAGACAGACACTCACTTTCTAAGCAAGAGAAACAGGCAGAATCTCTACAGCATCTGAGGGAGCGGTAAAGGCTGGAGGCATGGCAAGCGAGCAGCAAAGGGGCTCTGAGGGCGGGAGAAGGAGTTGAGACGGTGACCAGGACGGGCCTCTCCGAGAGGGTGGCTTTGAAGGAAGATCTGAAGCGGGGGAGGATGGGCGCTCTATAGAAACCGAGGAAGAACCTTCCAGGCAGAAACAGGACCCCTCCGGCGGCTCTGCCAGGAGGGGAGTGCGGGGCAAGGGAGGCAGTGTGGAGCTTCTGCAAGAATCCAGAGGACAGAGGAGGCTGGCTGGACCGGCTGGAGGCACTGGGAAAGTGGCCTCACTTGGAAGGTAGACCCAACAAAATGAAGGGGGGGGGGGTCAAAGAAAGGGAAGGGGGGGGAAGAGAAGAGGAGGAGAGGGCGCCAAGGTCCAAAGCAGCAAACTGAGAAGTCTGAATTCTCGGCTGGGGGCTTCTGAATCAGTATGTTTAAGGAAATCCATCAATCTGCAAATTGTCCGATAACTCTCCTCTGACGTGAAAAACGCATACTTGGCTCTCCTGGCTGATATGTACACAAGGGTAGCCTGAGGATCAATGCGGACCAGTCAGCCACTTCTCAAAGCTGCCCAGGGTGAAGGAGAGAAGAATCTTTGCTAATCGCTCTCCCTAATTGAATTTAATGTTCACTGTCAGGTTTTAAAGATTAATTCCCAAACACTGCGGCAGCCTGAAGTGTGTACCTTTTTTCAATTAAGTAATTAGAGATCCCAATCTGCCTCCACGGAATTCAGGAGTTAAGTCTTCTGTCAAATGTTCTAAGATGACTTGACGCATTAACTAGACAGAGACATTCTATGTGTCCAGCGGAAGTCAGATTTGGAAAGAACACGACACAGAGAACATGTGTTTGCTTGGCTGTCCTGTCCTGCATTTACTGTGGTTTCCGTGTCCTGGCTACTGACACACGGCCCCACCAAGAGTTCCTCGCGGTCTCTTAAGACCTATTGCTTTAGCCACAGGGCATGTTCTTTCTGCCTACCTGTCTGCCTTTTGTTTTTGATTACAGAACAAATACAATCTCCTGGCAAAATAGTCAAATGATACAGATGTGCAAAAAATCAATATCCCATAGTAATCAGCTACAGGATTGTGGTTCCTCTGATTATATTGGAAGTAAGTATACTCAGGGAGGGGGAGGGGAATAAAACAACAAAGAAACACAAAGACGAAAATAAGAGTCATCCATAATTCTACCGCCTGCACATAATGGCTATCAGACTTCTGGGTGAATCTTTGCCTCCCATTTGACTCGCCCCTGACAGCTCCCATCTTAGGGATCTTCCTAGTTCAGCCGAAGCTCCTGGCCTCTTCCCTACCCCTGGACAGCCCCTGCTACCCCAGGATATCGTTCTAGAGGCCACTGTCACACTCACTA